TTTCGACCTATAAGTTGCACTTTTTTGTATAATGTACATGCCCTGCAACTTACAGGCCGAAGCGACGCATTTATGGACCCCCCCCCCCCCCTCTTTATCACCCATTTTTTGGTTGGGATATGACAGTTTTCATTCATTCTGACTGAAAAAAAATTGAGCAGTACCACTTTCAACCACTTGATGGCAGCATTGTAGTAGTAGTAGTATGGCATGCTGTTGTATCTTGAAATAAGGTAAACGTGGCTATAATGACAAATTCAAAAAAGTTCAAGACAAAAACAACTGGACTTTATTCATTATACTATACTTTATACTTTTTTTTCTTGAACTTTTTTGAATTGACCATGTCCTGGATGACTGAGTCATTAATCGGCTTGCCATATATGTTCGCTGATTGGACCGACCGTCAAACTAGCTGCACCGCCCCGGCTAAATGCAGCTAATTTGACTATTAAAGTGCATTTATTAAACGAACGTAAGACTGAGACACATCTTTACTATAATTTCGAGCAAACAAACAATTGTTTAGGCGTTTATCTTGTTAAAAGTGTACAGCGACTCGTCGCATGCACGCGTTTTCTTCCACGTATCGGCTTTTGAAATACAGCTGATTTGACCATCAAAGTGCATTTATTAAGCAAACACACTAAGACACACCACTACTATAATTTTGAGCAAACAATTGTTTTTAAGTGTTAATTTTGTTAAATTCTTGTTAAAGTCCTCCCGTGCACGCTACCGCCATTTGGCAGACCATCGGTTTTTGGTACAACACCGGCCCACATTTCCGGGTTAGCGGTGACGCATAATAGATGCGACGTATACAGCGAAGCGACATATTTATGGATTTTTCCACTTTATTAAACAAATATGGACTGATGCAACTTATAGGACGGAGCGACGTGTACGGTGGAAAATACAGTATCTAAAAGAGCTGCAGTTTTTTCTCTTGTAAGAAAAAAGATGTCTGTTAGCAGTTAACCTGCCACACACAGATATGGTGGAAATGTGTTTTTAACTGGACTTCTCAGACAAAACAGCATCTTGGCCATTGTGATGAACTTTGTTGTTCATCACAATTTTTACATTTTGTGTAAGTGAAATTACCGAGACGAGACGTTGCTTTGGCCAGAGGTTTGATCATGTCCACCAGCTTGTTACCAGCAGCGATGTCCACTCCACTGTCCTTATACGTCAGACGTCTGTTAGGAAAACAGTAAAAAAAAAAAAAAAAAAGAACTGAATTTTAACCCCTGTAATGCTATTGATATTTTTAGTTTACAAGTACATACTTGTGAAAAGACTAAAAATGACAGTTTCTGGTTGTAAATTTTATCATTTGTTCCATACATGAGGAGAGTTCAAGTATTAACCAACATTTTTTTCCTTGTCTAAAAATTAAACAATGCTTTACAAGCAGGGTTTCTCAAACTTTTTGGGATCAGGGACCCCCTCATAACCCTCATGTTTGTTAAATAATTTTCTTCAATTTGTCTCTAATGCACTGGAAATATTTGTGTAACATAAATACTTAAGACCTGTTCTTTAATAGTGTTAATACAATTTTTATACTTTTAAACATGGGGTATTTTTCCATTCAAGACACAATTAATGAACAAAATGTTTAATTTCAACTTTAAAAAATTACAGTTTTGATAAAATGAACAGCATCAAAAACCGCTTTAATACTTTACCTGTTCAAGTCAAGTCAATTTTACTGTCATTCTCATCAAGAGGTACATGAGGTGGAACAAAATTGTGTACTCAAGGTCCCAGTTACACCCAACAATAGCAAAAATATAGTGTGAATAGAAACAGTATATAAGGATCTAAGATCAAGATAAATACACTACACTATACTAAGATATACACTGGGACGTGTATATCTTAGTCTGAGCCAAACGAATGCCAAAAGATCTAAGATATACGCTAAACACTAATAATGCAAAACGATACGGCGCATCAACATCAATGATACAACATCAATCATGTATAAAGTTCTAGAATTGCGCCGCTCAAGGTGGCTGCATGTTGGAGCAGCTCTATTACTTTCATTCTGAGATTCTGCTTTTGGAAACTTTAATTCCTCTTTTTCTGGATGTAAATCACATTTTTTTGGATGATTGTTTCCTCTGGTATCGGATGCTGTGCAGCTGGAAGGATTTTTACTGAAACTTTTTTTAGTTTTGGACCTTTGTTATGCTGCGTAACCATGGCAACAAGGCAGTTTTCTACAACCAACAGCAGCTGATTAACATCTCAAAAGCTCAAATAATATCTCAACTACAGCCCTAAATCTCAAATGAGTTGAAAAGGATGTTCTGTGGATGCATTCTCATCTACCTGCCAGCTGTGCTCGAGTGTCTGACCACTGAGATCCTGGAACTAGCAGGAAACATGGCTAATGACAGCAGAAGGACAGGATCGTCCCTCGGCACCTACAGTTGGCTGTCCACAGTGACAAGGAGCTTGGCAGAGTGCTGGGAGGAGTGGCCATCGCTCTGGGAGGAGTTCTGCCCGGCATTCAGGCGGTCCTACAGCACGGGGGAACCGAGAGTCCAGCCGAATCTGGGTTGACAGATCGGACGGCATCTGCAGCCAGATTCTTAGGATCCACTGTGGGATGGACCTTCACAAGAGATCCTTCCTGTCTACAGCCATTCAGTATCTATAACATCTCTTAATGAAATGAGTTTAACGAGTTATAACAACAAATAATTCCCCTTTGGGATTAATAAAGTATTTTTGAATTTGAATTTGAACAGCAGCCCGAACATGAGTCTGTGGTGAGCAGACATGTATGAATAAATACAGCAGCATGAGATAATCAGCAGCACAGATAAGTCACATATCACCAATTAAGGTACCAATACAGTGAATTATTATTTTTTATAGTGATTTTCCTGGTTAGGGATTCATGAGACTAACAGCATCATGGTAGAAGCTGTTCCTCAGTCTAGTGGTTCTACACTTAATGCTCCTCAACCTTCATTCACCTAATAAATGTATCACCACTTCAAATTATTACAGAGAACTCTTTACATAAAACTGAACAGAATCATAACAGCAGTAGTCATACCAAGTAACAGGACTTGGATTTGTAAACCGATCAATGTCGGAACGCAAATGGCAGAGGGGCCGGGGGTCTGGGGATCCTCCCCCTGAAAAATCTGAATAAAGTACATGTGATTTCCTGCATTTTGGTGCATTTAGCAGGTTGTTAAACATCTACGTGCTTGTTTTTTTTCTTTTTTCTTTTTGTGGACCCCAAAGCACAAGCTCGCGGACTCCCATTTGAGAACCACTGCTTTATAGGTTTAAAACTGAAGTTTCATTACACTGGTCCACACCTGCTCTGGTTCAGGTGAGCGATGGCCCAGTGGCCGATGTCCCGTCGGTACACGGCACCTGGGAAGCCGATGGCTGCTACTCCCTGGTTGGCCGCCTGCAGTGCAGTCTCCAGGGATGACTTTACCGCCGTCACTGTCAGAACGCGGCCGCCGCTGGAAACCACACTTCCATCCTTCAAGGTAGTGCCGGCGTGGAAAACCTGCAGTCCCATGTCCTGGACCAGGGACAGGCCTGAAAGACAACCATGCAAAAACTGGATGAATTGACCGTATTATTTGCAAGTGAAAATCACGGCACCTCTAATGTTCTGTAGACCAGTTTTACCCGTGATCTCGACTCCTTTCTTGTAAGAGCCGGGGTAGCCGGCACTGGCCATGACCACAGTGACTGCAAAGCTGTCCTGCTGCCACACGGGGGCGCAGGAGGACAGTTTTCCTTCCATAGTGTTCACAATCACCTCATACAGGTCACTCTTCAGCAATGGCAGCAGCACCTAGAAGGAAACATTTGATGTTATATAAAAGAAGGAGGTCCACATGTTTGATAGTCAGTGAAACCCACCTGACTTTCTGGATCTCCTAAGCGACAGTTGAACTCCAGGACCTTTGGACCCTGCTTTGTCAGCATCAACCCTGCGTACAGCACACCTGAGCAAACGGAAACAAATATTTTAATAATTATGTTGCTGCTGCAGAAAACATATGGATAAAAGGAAACAACTCTTACCCACATAAGGAGTTCCTTCCTCCTTCATCCCGTCCACAGTTTTCTGCAGAACCGTTTCTCTGATATGTTGCAGCAGCCCCGGGCTCACCTGGCAAACAAACAGCTTTAAAAACTACAAAAACTAAAGTATGAAATCTCTGTAGCAGTCGGTTGCCCAGATGTACCTGAGGGGTTGGACAGTAGGCTCCCATACCACCAGTGTTTGGTCCCTGGTCCCCATCCTGAAGCCGTTTGTGATCCTGAGCTGGAGGCATCAGTGACACAGAGGTGCCGTCACTGAAACACAAACACTGAAAGAAATGGTAGGAAACATCAGTGTAAACATTCCAAGTTTGCTGAAAAGTATTTCTTAAACGGCAGGACTCACCGAAACCTCCTCTCCCTCCAGAAGCTCCTCTACCACCACCGTCTCTCCTGCAGATCCAAAAGCTCTGTCCTTCAATGGAAACAAACGGAAAACTGCTGAGACCAGATAGAGATTTACACGAGATGTTCAAATGCTTGAAAACGGTACAATAATCTTGTAAAGAACACAACAATAAGCTCAAGCTGCTGAACAGATCTGTTAAGTTGTCAGGCTTTTGTTTTTTTGTACAGTAGTCCCTCGATTATCGTGGGGGTTAAGTTCCAGATAGGTCTGTCACAATAAACAATGAATCAATTAATCGCATGATAAATGAAAATTATCTAACTCATTTTCATTTATCAGCTTTATCAGTTCTTTGTCTCTTTCTACTGAAGACACTGGATGACAAAAGGCTCAACTCCGGTGCTCTTCACTGACCCCTCACTTTCTCTTTTCTCTTTAAAATCAGTTTTAACCATTCAACATCCAATTTTTGGATCGTTAAAAGCAGCTAAGCTGAGAAGCTAAGCTACAAGGCCAACCTTTGGAAAAAACCTCTGTCTTGTCGAAGCTCCAAAATTCACAGTTGAAACCCGTGCCTTGGTCTAAAAAGTTGTTTTTTTTCCTGCAAAAAGAAGCTGAGAACATGTTTACTGATTTTTTTTATTAAAAGCTTTGTGTGACAAATGCTATGCTAAAGAGCTCAAACCACACCAAGCGTCCGCCATTTTGAGAAACCGAAAAACAGGAATGAGACGCAGCCCATGTCACGTCAAGGGGCCTCCCTCCCATTTCTCTTCAACAGACATGCTGCTTGCTCCCTCACTACCCATCCTTCGATATAAACAGTCTTATACTACCATCTGGTGGTCAAAAAAGGTAGTACACACAAAATTAAACAAAATTTCTTATTAAATTTGACAATTACTAATTATTGTCAATTTTCAAACAATATCGTTTATCACAATATTTTCTGAGACAATTAATCGCCCAGCAAAATTTGTTATTGTGAAAGGCCTAGTTCCAGACACCCCCATGACAGGTGAAAATCCCTGAAGTAGGGATGTTAGATGTATTTTAGTATTGATACATTTTAAGGCTTTATAAACCCTTCCCACACTCTTGCAATGTACTAAACTCTCTAAACGCTCTAAAAGAGGACAGCGTGTCATGATCTCTGCTCTTTGCCACACCCACTTCTCAGCCGCAATCACACTCATGCTCATCACCTGTGTCACTCCTAATCTCCCTCCTGCTGCACCAGTGCACTGCGCTTCTTAAGCGCTCCCCAGTCTCTGCCAGATTGTCTGATCGCTTCGTGCCTGAAGTATCCAGCATTCTTCTTCCTGCCCTCGTTCCTAAAGGCTTGGTTTGGGTCGCGCTTCATTATTTTAAATAAACAATCCATGCCGCTCGTGTGGCTCACTCAGGTATAAGACAGACCCCGCCCCCTCCTTTCTTTTTTCAAGGATGTTGCACACCTGCCTGTTGTGCATCTCTGGAACATGATGGGGAAAGACAGACCCCGCCCCCTCCTTTCTCTTTCTCTGCTGTGACAGCCTCAGAAAGAGAAAGGAGGGGGCCAGGGACTGTCTGTTTTATATTTGAGTGAGTCATGCTCAGCCACTCTTAATTTTTTTTTTTATATAAACGCCTGAGCAGTAGTGATGGGATAAGACTAGGGGTTGAACGAGTATATAATTTTTAAACTCGACATTAACATAATAAAACCCGAGTAGAACTCGAGAATTTGATGACGTCATAGATCTCAAGATACAAAAATAAATAAATAAATAAAACTGCAATAAAAAGTAATTATTTAAAAAAAAAAATAAAAAGACCAACAAAACATTGGGAGCGTATATTATGCTCCTACCATTTATCATACTGCAAATAAGTCACAGGAAAAACTAAACTATTAGTTATTATTATTAAACTGCAAACGTGAAGAAACATGCAGCACGTCAGAAACGAAACTTAAAACAGTGGATGGGCGGTGGATTGGACCCGGTGTTACACCATACTCTGTGACCTGCAACAGTGCAACACCGCCCCCTACGGTCATACGGTGGTCACATAATATGACGTCACTACGGTTACTCGACATTACTTTTTTAACCTCGATAGAGGTCCTAGCAATCGATGTGCAGATTACTCGAGTACTCTGTTAATGCCTTAGATAAGACAGACCCCACCCCGCCCACTCCTTTCTCTTTCTGAGGCTGTCACAGCAGAGCAGAGTCATTGTACGCTGTGACAGCCTCATAAAGGGGAAAGGAGGGGGCGGGGTGGGGTCTGTCCATCCCCATCGCTACTGGTGTGTCGTGTACAATCTTAAGTTGAAAACCCGCAAAAGAGTGAGTCCGTGAAAAGCGAACCTCAAGGTATCGATGGACTGCTGTACTGATAACAGCTTGGTGTCAAATACTAGAGCAAACCTTCAGAAGTTCACTAGACTCAACAGGTCAGGACTGCGACTGCTGGAGACTAGTTGGTGAATGGTCTGCGATGGAGTCTCCAAAACGTCTTACGACATTTGCAGGGGCTCTTAAGATCCTTGTCACAATCTAGGCCTTGTCACTTGAATTACTCTCAAAATAGAGTTGTTGAGGGCACCTTGAACAGGTCTCAGAATTTCTCTATTAAGTTTCTGTAATTCATACCATACCATACCATACCAATTTATTTATATAGCACTTAAAACAGCAACAAGGCCAACCAAAGTGCTGTACAAAAGAACACAAACATGCACAGCAGACAGGAAAACATAAAATAGAAATACAGATACAAATAGCAGCAGAAGCTAACTAAAATGGCCAAAAGAGTAGAGAACAGACCGGGCCAAAACAAATCACACCGTGTTAAAGGCAAATTCAGGACTGTTTGAGCTGCATTTGGACACAGGAACAGGAGCTCTCCTGACAGAAAACATCTCAGAATACAGCCCTGCATGTCCATGTCCGAAAACAAATATGAACCACCAATAACTTAAAGTATATGCATGGCCTGCAATACACGCTGTGCAGATGATAGGAATGTGCGATATATATGGTACACAGTAGAAACGATAGACATTTAGCCTATGATAGAGATCTGTATTCTACCGGTTAACCGCAGTAATGCTGTGTCTGATGTAAAATCAGAGTTGTCAGTTTAATCGTTACTTTTTTAAGTTGAAAACTGTGTCTAAGTGGTGTTAGTCTTTTCTTCGAGAGCCAAGTAGCGAAGCTACAAGCTAACTATGGCCGGTTTTTCGTAGTGTTGCCGTATTCAAAATGCATGCACAAAATGCTGTGTTCCGTCAAAAGTGTCCCCCCCCCCCAGTCAAAAGGTAAAAAGTAAGCATTGGTCAGCTTTAGAGAAACCTGCTCTCTGATCTGTGAAAAGAACGCTGTGTTGTGTGATCTTACTGCGAGACCCTCTGATCAAAGCCACAGAGGAAACTGGTCGCCATTTTGTGTCAGCTCTCCTTAAAGCGAAAGGAGACACCCACTAGAGGGTTGGAGGGTGAAGTGTTTTCAGTGTAAAATGCTGCTCTGTTGCTGTTCATTTATTAAGTAAGAAGACTGGAAACTGTTAAGAGTTAACAACATATTCTTTTGTTTAAAATATATGGCTAAAACTACATTTAATATATTTTGCACTGCTTTTCACTACAAGAAAGAAACCTAATACTTGATTTGTTTATTATTTTAAAACTCTCTGGACCTAGTAGTAGGATTTTTTTTTAATTGAGATTATTTTGTGGTATAGCAGTTTTCAAAATAAATGATGGCTAAAGGACACTCTATGGCTTTAAAAAAAAAATAAAAATCCTATTGCATGTTTTACCAAAAACATATTATGATATATATCGTTATCACCACCTATCACAAAACTTGTTGCGATATGAATTTTATGCCATATCGCACATCCCTAGCAGACGACATTACATCTTGATTCTGAAATCACCCGCACTGGTTGCTTTATTGCAAATAAATAGGAATTTAAGAGACTGCAACAAAATATTTGAATTACCCATTAGTCTCCAACAGTTGCAGCCTATCAGAGATTTACTCAGTGTTGTTATGAAAACGTCTTCAACTTTAGGAGTCTGTAGGTATTGGTTGCTCTTTTAAGTAGAATCTGTGCCTTTCAGAAATGGGGCGTTGCATGTTGTGCAACAAAAGTTGATGTGCTCAACATCAATTTTTAGGCGCAAAGTTAATGTTTTAAGCCTAAAGTTGGAGATTTATTGTGAAAATGCTAAACTTTTTAATTTAGCTTTATCATTATGCTAACTCCTACAATTGTTTTACAAAGGCATGTTCAAAATTTCAGATCTAAAGTTGGGTTAAAAAACAATTACGACTTTCAGATCAGTAATGAATTCAACAGTATGTCATTGATGCTCAAAAACAAACATGCTGAGGTCATTTTCTCTCCTCACATCTAGATTCAACACTTTAAGCTAAATATAGGAAACAGTGTTTCCCCTAGTTTACTGGCAGGGCGGAGTGTCTCGTACCTTCATCATGTCCATCACAGCCTGACAGGCCTCATTCTGATCTCTCGCCACGATGACCCCCTTCCCCGCTGCTAAACCGCTGGCCTTCACTACCAGAGCTGGAAAGTCAGCTCTAAAGAGAAACAAGGACACAGACTCAGGACCAACATGTTAAAAGTATTAAAACATCTGGAACAGATGCAGTCAGAGAACAGAAGGTGTTTTCTTACGAACTTTTGAACACCAGCCAAGCCCACTGTCGTTAAAAATTAGGTTTGTATACAACAACTGCTCTGATCCGATTTGTAAGAAACATAACTTTTGATTGTGAACCAATAAAGATGTAACCGATTGCAAATGTGAGAATGCCAAAATTTAAATTAATAAATAAAACGGACCTGCAGATGTATCTGCAGGCTTCCTCTGGGTCGGTGAAGGAGCCGTAGCGAGCCGTGGGGATGCTGTGACGCTCCATGAAGGCCTTGGCGAAGCTCTTACTGGCCTCCAACTGAGCCGCCTTGGCTGTGGGTCCGAAACACGGCACTCCTGCAGCCGTCAGGTCGTCCACAATCCCTGGAAGAGACACCAAAGGCTGAGCACAAACACGGGTCTGGTTGCGAGGGGAGAGACGCAAAGAGAGGATTCACCTGCCGCCAGCGGAGCTTCAGGTCCGACAACAACCAACCCCACATGGTGATCTTTGCAGAACTGAGCAAGAATGGAGTGGTTACTGACAGAAACCTCTGCAGGGAGAGAAGCGGACATTATTCAATCAGACCATACATTAAACACACAGGTGCAGGAAAACAACATGTCAAACAACGATTAATCTTCTTTCGGCTTTTCCCTCGTAGTGAGTCATCCTCCTCCATTTCACTCTGTCCTCTGCATCCTCTGTCCTCCCTCAAACTACCTCCATGTCCTCTCTAACTGCATCTCATCTTCCTCTTTTTTTTCCCTGGCAGCTGCATTTCTAACATTCTTCTTCTACTAATCCATTCCTCAGGTTTTTTTCTTGCTCTCAAATATATGTCAATGAATATTTAGAGTCAAAACCCTCACTTCCATCTCTCCAAGACATTTCCAAACCTCCACTGGCATGTCATCAGGTTCTACTGCCTTCATCGTACTCATTCTTTTCAGAGCTTTCCGGACTTCACCCTCACTAATCTTTCCCACTTCCTGGTCCACAGTTTCTATGACCTCTACTCTTCTTCCTCCTTCACTCTCTTCATTCATTAGCTCCTCAAAGTACTCCTTCCATCTTCTCGTCACACCCTCCTCACTCATTAGAACATTGCCATTCCTATCTCTAACTAGCCTAACCTGCTGCACATCCTTTCCAGCCTGATCCTTCTGTCTCGCTAATCGGTACAAGTCCTTCTCACCCTCTTTAGTGTCCAGCCCCCCATACGACTTCTGCTTTGCCTTTGCTACCTCCCTCTTTGATCTATGCCCTAGCTCCTTGTATTCCCGTCTACTCTCCAGTCTTCTCGTCAGCTATGTTTACATGCACAGAATTCTTTGATCGGATTGAAATGTATTCGGATTAAATAATCCGAACGTATCGTTTACATGGGTACAATCCATTCACAACGAGCGTTTACATGCAGCGGGCTTTTATTCTGAACAGAAGTACTGACATGCACAGAGTGGTAAACTCTCCTTAAAAAAAAAAGAAAAAAACACTGAAGAAGTTGTTCTACTTCCGGGATGAATGTAAAAAAACCCGAACGCCCAAAATGGACCCGCGCCAGGTTTTTATGACGGTGGAAACGTTACTGCACTCCCTGATTGAGCTACAGGTAATTTTGAGCTCTTTCAAAGTTTTTAGTGGAAATGTTGTATCGCTCAACTAGGCCTGTCGCGACCATGAGTACATAATCTTGTTCCACCACATGTATCTCTGAATCTTTCTGAATAAATCAATTAATCGCATGATAAATGAAATTTATCTACATCATTTTCATTTATCAGCTTTATCGTTTCTTTGTGTCCCTCTTTTTACTGAAGACACTGGATGACAAAAGGCTCAACTCCGGTGCTCTTCACTGACCCCTCCCTTTCTCTTTAAAATCAGTTTTAACGATCAAAAAATCACATTTTTCGATCATTAAAAGAAGCTAAGCTACGAGCTAAGCTAACAGGCCGACCTCGGGGGAAAAAACCTGCGTCTTGTCGAAGCTCCAAAATTCACGGTTGAAACCCGTGCCTTCATGTAAAAAGCTTTTTCTCTGCAAAAAGAAGCTGAGAACTTGTTTATTGATTTTTTTATTAAAAGCTTTAAAACCACACCGAGCATCCGCCATTTTGAGAACTGAAAAAAGGAAAGAGAGACGGCCCATGTCACGTCAAGGGGCCTCCCTCCCATTTTTCTTTAAGAGACACGCTGCTTGCTCCCTCACTATCCATCCTTTAATTCAAACAGTCTTATACTGCCATCCGGTGGTCAAAAGAGGTACTAAACTCAAAACTAATTAACTAGAATTTCTTATTAAATTTGACAATTACTAATTATTGTCAAATTTCAAACAATATCGTTTATTGCAATATTTTCTGAGAAAATTAATCGCCCAGCAAAATTTGTTATTGTGACAGGCCTACGCTCACCAACGAATTTAGCTTCCCTGACATATTAGCATCTAGCCAGGCAGAAATGCGAGAGGTAGACATAGGTCGCATGCGCAGTCAGGTCAGTTTTCCATGATCGGAATAAAATGATCAGATTAAGTGTTTACATGCGCACTGTTCGGATTATGAATCGGCATAAACCACCTGTCTCATTCTGATTACAAATTCATTCGGATCGAGCTGAATCAGCTCTGAATAATCCGAATGGGGCGTGTACATGACGCATTTTTTATTCCGAATGGCCGTTTAATACGATTATTTATGTCCATGTAAACATAGTGACTGTCATATTTATTCTTGGCTAACCTCTTTCTTTGAAAGAGTAGCGAAACAATGTTTGTCAAATAATGATGAGTACGTTTCATATTTACACATATATTTTTATTCACAATTTGTATTTTCATTTTGTTTTCATTTATATTTCTTTATATGAACTTAGTAAGTTTTATAAGGTGATATTAAAAAAAAAGTGTGGTTTTAGGAACAAATGAACAACAAAATGTTAAACTTGCGTTGAAACTATGTTCTTGTTTGGATCCTCAGCTACCAACAGACCTTTAGTTGGAGCTTTTTAAAGTTTATAAAGCAGGAATAAAAAGTATGAGGTGTCACCTATTCCACATATGATCCCTGGTGAAAATGTATGATTTACAAGTCAGCGTGACCTATAAATTTAGAAAATAGCAGCTGCTCTTGTCACATTTTACACAAGTTGTTTCACTTTCTTTGGAGGACTCGTTTTGTAGTTTTCTGCCTGAAAGCAAAGTGGTGGCAAAACACACATTAGGGTATGTGGCAATACACATTATTGGCTCAGTAAATATGGCAGTAGCTTTGTTTGGGAATTCAGCACCGGAAATGGTCTCCACAAAAGCGGCTGCATTAAAGAGCTTTTTGTTGTATTGCGCACCGGTTGTATGTAAAATGTTTTGGGTAGGTCGACAGTGTGCATTTTCCTTTTTGATCACATTTAAAAACATTTCAGTTGGGTTCGCTACAAGCTCGGTACTTCAAGATGAATTTCAGAAGAGTTTTCACTATCAAAATTACATTTGCTGAAGGAGAGTTAAGATTGACTCAAAATGCCTAAATTAGGACCCCAGGGTTTTAAATAGAAGGTGTTTGTACATTATTTGAAGATAAACCATAGTATAAATATTTAGGAATGTAACAATAATTATTTTCTGTAGTTTTTGTACAAATCTAAATGGTGAATGGTAAATGTACTGCACTTAAGATAGGGCACTCTACTAAATAGCACTACTATTTCTATACAAAGAATAATCAGTGCTTTATCACATTCATACACCGATGGGATAAACATCAGAGGCAATGAGGGGTTCAGCGTCTTGCCCAGGGACACTTTGGCATGTGACTGCTGGTGGAATCAAACCCCCAACTCTTGCGTTGCAGGACAACTGCTCTAACCACTCAGCCACAGCCAAGATGTGAAGTAGAGAAATAAGGTAATGAAGAGGAGGGTCCCAAGTACAAAACCTTGTGGCACACCAATAGAAATGAGGGAAGACAGAGAACGGAAAGAGTGAAGTTGAATTAACTCAGTATGGCCACAAATCTACAAGTATTCAGCTTTCAAATGATACCAACTTTGTCTAATTTGACCATAAAAAGGGAACTGGTGTTTGGAATTGTGATGTAATTGAAAATATTTAAGCCTTTTCTAGTGATATGAGGTTCAGTTTGTACCACATACCTATAGACAACATAAAAGATCTGATGGGACTCAAACTCAACTTTAATTAAAAGAAAATGCAAAAAGACCCTAGTTATAAGACAGGCTTTAAAATATTGTATGGACTAGGCAGTACAAATTTCAAGGGGCAGGCAGGCCAGAGTCACTACAAAAGCTTAAACCGCCCTGCACTTTAAATTAAGTGATGGTAGTTTGATTTTAAGGGACTGCAGATGCAATTTAGCTTTTGCTATAATCTGGTGCAGCGCATCAAATGACGACATTTATGTTTGAGTTGTACATTGTCCCTTTTTAAATAAAGTTCATTCATTCATCCAGATGTTTGTGTTCTTGCATGAAACTCAACCAGAACATGACTGCAGAGCTTCGAGTCGTCAGTAAACAACTTTTAACCGCTCGAGTCAGGCTCTATAAAGACGCTCTTCTTGGTCGATGCTTACCAGAGTTTTTGATCTTGCCGCAGTCGGCCGTGCCGGCGTTACCCGGAGCCACCAGGACTTGTTGAACCTGTGGCGACTGAGCCAGCTTCCAGGCCAACGCATGCTCTCGTCCACCGCCTCCAACCACCAGAACCCGCTCTGCCATGGCACCTGGGTTTAAAAAAACCAGTCAGCTTGTAGATCTTTGTGCCACCTTCTATCACCTCTGAAAGCGCTGTTTAATTGTATGCAAAGGCTGACCTATGGCTAAAGCAGTTTACTCAGCTGTAAAGGAGCGTTGACCTTTTCTCAAGACGGGGGTCTTATATTACCTTGTAAAACCAGTTTAACTGCAATCCATCTAATCAGCTGGAACACATAAGACTGTGCAGGCGTCAGATGTTGCTCAACCAGTGAGCAACTGCAAAGACTTTTATTTAAACATCAAAGTTCACGCTCAATAATCCAGGTAAAAAAAATCCAACAAAGTTCAGTCAGGTCATCCGGGCGGTTTCTTTTATTGTTGAGACGTTTTGTCCTTCATCCAAAGGACTTCATCAGTCCAAGAGCCACAACAAGCTTTGTCCCACAAGCAGCACACTCCCATAGTGAACCAACCAGTTTGCTGATGATAAGATGTTTTCTGGGGCCTGCCTGAACTTTGTTGGATTTTCTACCTGGATTATTGAGCATGAACTTTGATGTTTTGAACCACTTTGGCTATGGCTGCCTCAGTCGTCGTCGACGGGGGAGAGGGCGAGCCCCAGAAACCATCTTATCACCAGCAAACTGGTTGGTCCACTGTGCGAGTGTGCTGCTTGTGGAACTGAGTTTATTGCGGCTCCTCACTGATGAAGTCCTTTGGATGAGGGCTGAAACGTCTCAACAAAGAAAGAAACCATCCAGATGACCTGACTGAACTTTGTTTTTTTTTTATATTTAAAGCTAAAATAGGGCCTTTCTCAGATTATTTTACTAAACTTCAACTAAAACATCTGGATCACCTCTGGTTTCTGAGGCAAACCAAAACGAGCAAAGATTTTTTTTGTGTGTGTGTGATTTCAGCAGAAACTTAATATATAACTGGATTTGATTTTACTCAAAATTAAAAAAAAAGAATAAAAGCGTAGCCCTCCAAGACACGAGTTACAGACGCTTTGGTCAAACCTTAATAAATATAATTTTGTGCAAACTCACGCAATATGCTCAAAGTATGCGTTGTGAATGACTTTCAGCATCCACATCAGATTATTTAGCTCAATATCTGCACAAGCCAAACAAACATGGGTCAGAGTTCAAACTGACCCCAATCTGCACAGATTAGACCCCCGTCTACATGCAGTGCAGATCCAACACAAAGAGCTGACTGTTGCACACTGGCTGTTCATGTGACTCAAATCATCAAACCAGTTATCAATTACAGGGACAAGAAGGCATGACTCCATGTTTTGAACAGTACTAGTCCACAAACATCTTTCTAAATACCAAATAGAGGAAGTTATTTTAAGTATTCATTTGGCAACGTTTGTCTTTTAAGTGCATGCGTTTATTTTGAATTTTAATATGAATAACGCAGTCCAGAAAACTTATTTTATGCAGGATATGTTAATGCATTCATTCTGCACCTAAAAGACAAATTTATTTGAGACAAATTGCACTTTTAAATCAGCACTGATCACAAAAAAAAAAAAAGCGTTTAAACACTCACTTGTCGAGTCCGAGTTGAGCAGGAATTAGACGGAGCCCAGCTCAGATGTGTAGCCTCTGCTCTCTGCGGGATGACTGACGCTCCGCGGGGGCTGCCAGGTTTAAGACGCAACCAAAACAAATTACACGCGCCACGTGCACGCAGCGTGACACAACGATGCGCGCGCTCAAGCGACACTTGGATTAAAGCGACACAAAGTTAGCGAGAGAGACAGCGGAACAGGCTGAAAGCTTCCAAACTTCGTGCTTGGCTCGCTGATTTGGGACAAACTTTTTGGATTCCCAGACTTCCTGTGAGAGTGGAGGCCTAGAGCATCATGGGAAATGTAGTACATAAGCCACATCAGCTGAAGCTAACAGAAAACTTAAAAAATTTTATCTGGTTAAGCAAACTGAGTACTAATTCAAGTTAAATTCACTTGTTTACAAAATATTTAATTTTTCAGAATTTTGCTAAAATATTTACACATTTGTCTTACACCTTAATAAGTACATTATGTATTTATTTTACTAAGGTACAGTATAGTCATTAAGGATTTTAATTTAATATCTTATTCCTTAATATTTTGTGAACAACTCAGGTAAGAGAACTTCACTAGGGCTGTGCTATAAAGACAAAATAAATACATAAAAACTTGAAAATTCAGCCAAAATCTTAATACCCCGGACTTTGTAAGGAAAGACATTACAGTAGTCCCTCGATTATCGCGGGGGTTACGTTCCACACTCCACCATGATAGGTGAACCGCAAAGTAGGAACGCTAGATTTATTTTGTAACTTATAGAGACCATATTAAGGCTTTATAAACACTTCCCACATTCTTGAAATGTTCTAAACACTTAAACCTACGTAATTTTAACAGGTATTTGTACGCACAGTATTGCAAAATTGTATATGGGTACTCTACTCACCAGCTCTGCAGAACAGCAGCTCCATCTCAGTCGGACTCGGTTCCGGTTCAGCAGACCTACCCTGCAGAGACGAAGCCCACCGCCCCGTCCACGTCGATGTGCGCGTGAATAATTGGGCTTCAGGATTATCTGCAACTTTCCTGCCACTTCTGCGAGCTTCAATCGCTACTTCGGACTTTTGCTTTGCAAAACGTTCCCTCCTTCATTTTGTCAGAAAGTATCGGCCGGAAACACTGCTGGCTTCTGGGTAGTGTAGTTCTTTTGACCTGCGTTACGAAAACTACAAAAAGGCGGTGACTCTCCGAAGTTTTTTATTTTCCGTTAACTCTTTATCCCGCACCGTCCCAATCCCTTGAGTAACATTAAAGCTGACGATCGTTGAAAAATCGCAGAAGAGCGAGTCCCCGAAAGTAGAAACGAACCGCGAAGTAGCGAGGGACTACTGTAACACTCGGTACTTTTTTTTATGAAAGTAAGATATCTAGCTATATTCATCCTAGTCTTAGTAGGAAACAATTTACAAAAAAATTGACAAATTAACAGAAATATTACCAATTAAGTTTCCTTAATCGGATGGTGGAAAATGCCTTGGGGGGGTGGGGGGGATTTCCTGTCCGCGATGGTTCCTACATTCATTTGTGTGTGTGTTAATATCAGATCTGGGAATAGTTGCTTTTCAGGAAACAATCCAGACCTCATACTGTAAAAGAGGAACCAGCTTGTTTTTTAAAAGTCAAGTTCTATGACGGCATAAAAACATTTGTTGGAATAAAACCAGTAGTGCTGACAAATACCTTAAAACTAAATCGTTAATGTTGTAAAAGAGGCAATGCAACACATTGGAGCACCACCGAACTCCTTACTGTCCCCACTTGGCCAAACAGTTTTATCGTCTTGGGTGTCGAGCTTTTGCTTGACGTGCATCTTTATTTTCCCTTAGCCGATTACAATTAGTAGACCCTCATACTGTTTCTGAGCAATTAGAAGGTAAAATACAAATATATATTTAATTTAAACATAAATGAAACCTCCCCGAGTAAGGACAGCCGGTCTGAAACCAATGTCAACATTAGGATGCAGGATCATAGGAGGGTATGAATATATTATATAGCGTCAGTGGCAGTTTTCTAAAACAAATACAGCCTGAAAAAAACAAAAAACAAATAAAGGAATAGTTTGGGATAATGCTACAGTAAAATATACATAACTCGTGATTTTTTTGTTGCTGCCGTTTTTCAGAGTTTTGACAATAAAATCCTGTTTAGTTCACAGAAGAACTCATCAACAAGCAAATACAAAGGTTTTTGATTAGATGAAGTGGTGGTTTTAAATATGAAGGAGCTTGTTTTTTTAGTAAATCTTTTTCAATGTACTGTAAATTAATAACATATTTGACTTTTTTAGGGAAAAGGACAAAAAGCCTAATGGAAGAACAATTAATGACATTATATATGCGTGTGTAAAGAAATATAACACTGTAGTGTTGTGGAACTCACAAGTGTTCTGGTCTCTGCGCGTCACACAATCATAACAATATAAAATCAGTTTACAGGAAATAATATTGTGTAAAATAAGAAACTGAGCTACATCAGTAGAAAACGCTTTAACCACATATTGCAAACATTTTTTTTAAATTGTCAATTGACCACAGTGTAACAGAATGTCCAAAAATATTTTACGATTTTTCAGTGGCCCCCATATGGCCACCCCATTAAAACACTTGTGGAGGCACCAATGGCTGGTTTACGAGCACGTAAATTTTTTTTTATACAAATCATTTGAACCATTTAAAAGATTATTTTTTAACTCCATAAGAAAAAGAATATCAACTTTGTTTACTTTTAATTAAAATTTTGACAAATAAATTAACTTTGACTAGAGAAATTGCATTTCTTGGGAAAATGCAGTGTGAATGTTTATGGCAGAAGAACTTGCTGAAAAACAGCTGAAATTAGCTTAAAAAAACATGCTGAAATGGATCCGAAACGAAAGAACAAGCTCAAATTAGCAGAAGAAAGCAGATAGAACAAATATTTGCTGAATTGGGTTTAAATAAGCTCAAATGAGCACAAGAATGAGGAAATCAGTTTTAAAAAGGGCTAAAATTAGCACAAAAAAAATCTAACAAGTAGCCAAAAAGTTAAAAAAAACAGCTTAACATACGAGCAGGACGTGGAAATTTTGCACCCATCAGCCACCGTAGAAATGAGCTAAAAAAAAGAAGAGAAAAAAGTGGAATTAACTGAAAAAGCTAAAATTGGCATAAAACAGCTAAATGGTAGATGAAATAGCAGAAAAGCTGAAACTAGCAAAAAAAAAAAAAAACCTGAAAAGAGCATAACAAGCTGAAATTTCCAGAAAAGTTAATTAGGCTGAAAGTAGCAGGAATTATCAAGAAAAACTTGAATTTATGTAAAAACAGCTGAAATCAGTTAAAAATGTTCTAAAAAAGCTAGCTGAAAACGTAGAACAAGCTTAAGTTAGCAGAAGAAAGCAGAAAGAACATGCTTGCTCAATTAGGCTGAAAGAAGCAGAAATGAACACAAAAAGAAAAAAATCTGAAAAAAAAAAAAAAAAAAATGAAATTAGCAAAAAAAAAAAAACAGCTGAAAAGTAGCTAAAAAAAGCACAAAGAAGCTGAAATTACAAGAAGGAAGTGGAGAGAACACATTGCTGAAGTATGCTGAAAAATTTTGAAATGACTGCAAAAAAATATGGAATTATCTGAAAAAGCTTAAATTTGCATAAAACAGCTAAATAGTAGCTGGAATAGCACAAAAAGCTGAAACTTGCAGAAATAAGCTGAAAGGAGCATAACAAGCTGAAATTAAGAGAAAGTTAGAAGAAACACAAAATTGTTGTAGTTAGTAGGAGAGATCATATCTCTCCAGTTTTAGCTTCTCCCCACTGGCTCCCTGTAAAATCCAGAATTTAATTCAAAATCTTACTTCTAACCTACAAAGCCCTCAACAACCTAGCTCCATCTTGTATTTGAGATCTTATTATTCTATATTTTCCTAACACAGCACTTCGCTCTCAGACTGCAGGTTTACTTGTGGTTTCTAGAGTTTCCAAAAGCAGAATGGGAGGAAGATCTTTCAGTTATCAGGCTCCTCTCTTGTGGAACAAACTTCCAGTTTCTGTCCATGAGCCTGACACATTGTCCAGTTTTAAGACTGGGATTAAGACGTTCCTTTTTGATAAATCCTATAGTTAGGGTTGGCTTGTTATGCTGCTATAAGCTTAGACTACTGGAGGACAAATTGACCTCATTCCCTTAAATGAATTGTTAAAAGTCAATAGTTTTAATTTGATACTATTTCTATCTTAACATATGATTCTGGACCTGCCATTGTGTATCTGTTCCTCCTTCCTGTTCCTCTCAAACCCAGCCGGTCGAAGCAGATGACCGCTTGTCCTGAGCCTGGTACTGCTAAAGGTTTCTTCCTCATGAGGGAGTTTTTCCTTTCCACTGTCGCCTTCATGCTCGCTCAACATGAGAGTTCTGTGACGGAGTTAAAGTCAAAGCAGTCTGCTCCTCAGATAAATAATGTTAAATTATTATTTTCATCTATGAATGTTTCCGTTCAGTGACCTGAGATGACTTCTGCTTTATAAATAAACTGAATAGAAAATTTTCTGAGAGGAAAAAAAAAAAAAAGGCATAAAAGGCTAAATACTGTTTTTCAAACAGCTAAAGTTGCACCGATACAAAAAAGTCACAGCCGGATTGTCCTGAAAGAGCCGAACATTTTGAAGCAGCTTGAAAATTGCGGGAAAAGAATCTCGCCGAAAAACGTACAGAAGAAAAATGGATCACAATAGTGTGAATGCTTCATAAACATTCACACTATTAAAGACGAGAGTGCTAACTGAGCACAACACTGACTGCAGTGACTCATCATTTTCTAACTTTTTGATATGAAATGCTTCACAAATCGTTCTTAATTACAAGTTGGAGGTGATCAAATTATTACTTATGATTTTTTAGATTTATTTATTATTAACCTTTATTTAACCAGGTTAATCCCATTGAGATTACAGATCTCTTTCGCAAGGGAGGCCTGGGCCTAACATGCATGTTTTTAATCTGTGGGAGGAAACCGGAGTACCCGGAGAAAATGCACACATGCACGAGAAGAACATGCAAACTCCACACAGATAAATAAATCAACAATTGCTATCATCAATAATAATCCTACAATATAATAATATCATCAATAATCTACAATCAATAAATGATTGTAGTCAGTCCAAAAGGTTTGTGCTTCAGTTCTGGTGACCTCTAAGTTGCAAAAAGTTAAAAAGGGTTCACTTTTTTTCATGGTTCACGTGTCTTCACCGTCATGTTCCTTCAGCAGCATCATTAAGGCGTCATCTATAAAATAAATAATTCAAGGTTTCAAAACTCGAGCGTCACAACAGAGGGATTTCTGTCTCGCCGAGGAGTTCCTGTCCTAGCTCCGAGTCTCGCAGCGTGAAGAGGGTAACGCCTGAACTGTAAGCTGCGGGGATCGTGATGTGAGTCCGTTTGGGTCGATCTTCTCCCTGCTCTTCCTCTACAATCATCTTCTGAACTTGACCTGCGGGGGTAACGGGACAAGAACTGTGAGAAGCACGGTGGCTCAGCGGGCAGAGACGCGTGCACCAAAACAGTAGCTGCGTCACCTTCGACGTCCAGGAGCAGCCACCTGGACTGGTTCCCCGACAGGCTGGACAGCGAGCAGCCGGGCGTCACCCGCCGCAGAACGTCGTCTCGGCGCACCAGCAACACCGAGTCGCTGCAGAGACGCTGGTGCGCTTCTTCCTCACTAACTGAAAACAACAAAAGCGCCATGAGGGAACCCCGCTCCCTGACACGCACCGACCGCCAGCAGCTCTCTTCTTTGAGTCACTTACCGACGTCCAAAGGGTTGGTCATGAAAACGGCATTCGGGGCGACTCCGAAGATGAGCTGATGGTGCCAGGCGTCGGGCACCTCCTCGCCCTCAGGCGCGCCCAGCTGCATGTTCATGGTTGCCACGGGGACGGCGCCCTTTTGGATCCAGCGTGCGAGCCAAGGCACCAGCTGGACTCGCCGGCGAGGATAAAGGTGGAAGAACCGACCCATCACCCTCCCAGCACTGGCCTCCTGCGCCCCTTGGATCAGCTGAGCGTGAGTGGCACCTTGATGGTTTTAGAAACAAAGACCGACCGGTTGGTTGGCCAAGGAGGCCATTGTCAGTGATGGCAACACACACACACAGATGACAAACGAGATTTGAGCTGAAGAAGGCATCAACCTATCTAGACCACAATGCATTGCAAAATACTGACTTTAAGTGTGTGCGTTAGTAACTGTAAAAAAGGTCACGGGAGTTAATCTCATGACAAGGATGATGTTCCCATCAAAGTTGACCAGGATACTCAGGTTTACAAAAACAATGTGTAGAATCAGGGAAATAGTGAGTCTTTGTCGTCCTTCATAGGTTTAGATATTTATTTGATAATACGGGAAATGATGGCAAAGATGGCTTCCTTTAGGTTTAGAGCAGGGGTGCCTAAAGTGGGGCCCCCAAGCTGCCCTCATTACTATATTAACATTTCCTTTGAAGTGTCACTGCGTTTACACTCAGTCATTCTGACTTTAATGTTAATGTTAAATGGAAAGTCAGCCCAATGACTACCTTAATGGCACTATACAGCTGGAGTGGCTATTTGTGCATTAAATTATTTAATTTGACTAATTTATATTTTATTCTGACAGACTTCCTACAGCTTCCTGCCACTGAATAAACATTTTCCTTTGATCCTGCACTAATACACTTATAAATTAAATACACATAAAGCGTTTAAAAACTGACCAATCAGCAACCTCAACATGTCCTGAAGTGAACGTCCTTTACCTGCAGAGCTGCAGCTTTGCAATCAAGAGATTTCAATAGTGAGTTTTCATCTTTGGTTTCATGTTAATCTATAATGTAATAAACCTTTGTAAAATACAACAAAATACAGGAAATGGCATCTATTTTATTCAAAATTCTCTGGGAGAGGACCCCCAGATCCTCCACCACTACCATTGCAACCTGGTCTGTAATATTCTTTATACAGAATTGAATGTTAAAATTACTGTACGATAAATAAATGGACTTTACTTAAAGAAGTATTTGGATTTCATGTATTACTGCATTTGGCCTGCAGCCAGCCCCCTGATAGATTTTAAATTTGGCCCTCTCAGGGAAAATGTTTGGGCACCCCTGCTTTAGAGCTACTCTGCTGGCAGCACCATGCTGCTAACAGGACCATGCTGCTAACAGGAGCACGCTGCTAACAGGAGCACGCTGCTAACAGGACCATGCTGCTAACAGGCCAACTCTGCTAACAGTAGCATGCTGCTAACAGGACCATGCTGCTAACAGGCCAACTCTGCTAACAGGAGCACACTGCTAAAAGGAGCACGCTGCTAACAGGACCACTCTGCTAACAGGCCAACTCTGCTAACAGGAGCACGCTGCTAACAGGACCACTCTGCTAACAGTAGCATACTTCTAACAGGACCACTCTGCTAACAGTAGCATGCTGCTAACAGGACCACTTTGCTAACAGTAGCTTGCTGCTAACAGGACCACTCTGCTAACAGGAGCACGCTGCTAACAGTACCACGCTGCTAACAGGAGCACGCTGCTAACAGTAGCACGCTGCTAACAGGACCACTCTGCTAACAGTACCATGCTGCTAACAGGACCACTCTGCTAACAGTAGCATGCTGCTAACAGGACCACTCTGCTAACAGGAGCATGCTGCTAACAGGACCACTCTGCTAACAGGACCACTCTGCTAACAGGAGCACGCTGCTAACAGGAGCATGCTGCTAACAGGAGCACGCTGCTAACAGGAGCACGCTGCTAACAGGACCATGCTGCTAACAGGCCAACTCTGCTAACAGTAGCATGCTGCTAACAGGACCATGCTGCTAACAGGCCAACTCTGCTAACAGGAGCACACTGCTAAAAGGAGCACGCTGCTAACAGGACCACTCTGCTAACAGGCCAACTCTGCTAACAGGAGCACGCTGCTAACAGGACCACTCTGCTAACAGTAGCATACTTCTAACAGGACCACTCTGCTAACAGTAGCATGCTGCTAACAGGACCACTTTGCTAACAGTAGCTTGCTGCTAACAGGACCACTCTGCTAACAGGAGCACGCTGCTAACAGTACCACGCTGCTAACAGGAGCACGCTGCTAACAGTAGCACGCTGCTAACAGGACCACTCTGCTAACAGTACCATGCTGCTAACAGGACCACTCTGCTAACAGTAGCATGCTGCTAACAGGACCACTCTGCTAACAGGAGCATGCTGCTAACAGGACCACTCTGCTAACAGGACCACTCTGCTAACAGGAGCACGCTGCTAACAGGAGCATGCTGCTAACAGGAGCACGCTGCTAACAGGAGCACGCTGCTAACAGGACCATGCTGCTAACAGGCCAACTCTGCTAACAGTAGCATGCTGCTAACAGGACCATGCCGCTAAACTCTGCTAACAGGACCATGCTGCTAACAGTAGCATGCTACTAACAGGACTACTCTGCTAACAGGAGCATGCTGCTAACAGGACCATGCTGCTAAACTCTGCTAACAGGAGCATGCTGCTAACAGGACCATTTTTCCATTACAAGCCGTGGATAAGTGGCTTGAAACATCTGCTTAGTTCATGACAAAAACCAATGCAGACGTGTTCCCGTTTTTCACATTGCCTTATAATCTAGCTGTCTGTTTCTTTTTTTTTTTAAAAATACATAATTTCTTTAATTTATTCTTCTCAATGTATGCGCTTTCTTTTATGATTGTCCATCATTGTCATCTCTCTTTGTTAAAAAACAGGTCTCACTTTTAAAATGAGTCCCCGAGGCTCAATGAGACTAACCTGTATAAATAATGAATGAATGGAAAACACCAATCGGTCTACTTCTAGTGACACCTGGAGGAGCTAAAGGCCTCAAATGTCAATTAAAGTGAAACACAAAACCCTAAATTCAAGAGGGGACTCCTGACAGCACAGCCAGATGTTACACTGACTTGTTCTTTATGGTTTCCATCCAGACATTCAAATGGGGAGTGATGGTCGCTGCAAACATCTGTGACACCTGAAGCACGTGAGGCTGGAGCCACGTGTGCACCAACATGGAGCATGAAAGGTTAATAATGTTTACGGGACATTCACCGGCTTCACTGCGGGACAGCAGGTAGTCGGGCAGTGGGGACTCGTTCCTCCTCAGCCGGGTCTGGACGCAGCGGTCGACCTCCTCCGGAGCCACTTCCACGCCGAGGGCTTTGAGCACGTCCACCACGGCCGTGGCCCCGCAGGCGGAGGCTCCAATCTGCAGGGTCTGCCTCTCCACCGCCTCCTGGATGGACCACAGCATGGCGGCAGCCTCCTCGTTTACCTGCGCGCGCTCCTCCATCTGACAGAAGGGAAACAAATATTCAATTTAAAGCGGCTTAGAAGTTAGCTTCGGTGTCAAATTTATATTTCCAACATGGCATTTCAAGTCACTACTGTCGTTTATAACGTAGTAAGTGTTTCGGTTGACTTGCATGCTTGCCAAAGTTCCGTTTTACCGAATCTCGCTGGTTTTCACAGCTGCTGTCCCGGTGTTTACTTCAAAACAGACTGGAACACAGTGCGCATGCTCAGTATGACGTCATAATTTTTTTTTTTTACAGGAAGAAACCAAAAACAGAATGGAAACTAGCGCCCCCGGCTGGTTATATACTGCAACTGCAGCGACTTGAACTTTCCCAGGTTTAGTCAGAAGGAAATTTATTTTCTATGACAATATTCTGTCAAATAAACACTAACTTGACTCAAGGTTTTGCATTATGATGGTAAATGGACTGCATAGCGCCTTTCTATCTAATTAAGATACTCAAAGCGCTTTACACTACAATCTGTGCCTCATTTATCCATTCATACAGCACTCTACTAGATCTCTACAAAGCTAATTGAACATATCATTCTAAAGAGACTAATCGGTGCTTTATCACATTCATACACCAATGGGACACACACCAGAGGCAATGAGGGGTTCAGTGTCATGCCCATGACACTTCAACATGTTCATTCAAACTTTATTTAGACAGGTTAATCCCATTGAGCCTCGAGGACTCATTTACAAGAGATACATGAATGTGACTGTGACTGCTGGTGGAATTAAACCCTTACTCTCCCATTGGTGGACAGATGCTCAAACCACTCAACCACAGCCGCCCCCTTAAGATGGACATAAAGGATATTTTGAACCACCTTGTTTAAATTTAGAGTTGTAATTTGAGACTTTCTTTTACAACCTGCAGATTATTCAACATTTGTCTATTTTGTCTCATCATTTGACAGTGATACTCCCTACTAAATGCTGGATTAAAAAACATATTAGCTCAAAATGTTTCTTATCTAGATATATTTTGTATGGCATGAAAATTAACTCTGTAATTTCTATTTTAATTTTAAAGTATTTATCTTACAAATAGATTTAGAGGCAGTCTGTGCTCGTTATAGCTCAGTGTGGTTCCCATGACAACTGGGTTCTTTAATTTAAAATGCATTTAGAAAAAAAAATGCTAAAACTTAATATTTATAAGTTGACACATTATTCATTCAACCTTTATTTAGACAGGTTAATCCCACTGAGCCTCGAGGACTCATTTACAAGAGAGACCTGATTTCAACAAATAGCGATGACAACAATGGACAACAACAGACATTCATAAAAGAGGCATACAGATTTTCATTTTTTTTCTTTCTTTTTTTAACAAATTAAAACAAGATGGCAAAAAAAAAAGTAGCAAAAACAGCTAAGGCGATGTAGAAAACTAACAACAGGAACATGTCTGCATTGGTTCTTGCCATGAACTTAACAGATTTTTGAAGCCACTTAGAGAGGTCAAGGTCGAGAGCTTCAGATCTTTTTATAAGATATTCCAGGAAACAGGAGCTGAGTAGGAGAAGGCCCTTTTGCCTAGTTCAGTCCTCACTGAGGGAACACTGCAGGTAATAATGTCCTGAGAGCGCACGCTGTAGCTGCACTCACACAGACACATGTAGTAGGAGATGAAAATGTACCAGTGGGAGAGTCTGCGTGAAGTTAATGATGACCAGTTAACCAGTGAATACAGGGTGTAGTGGTGGGTACGATAATTACAGCCAGTTATGAATCTTAGTGCACCGTGATAGACAGCATCCAACTGACTGCAGGGTGCTTGTAGGAGCAGTCATGTAAATAATGTCACCGTAGTCAATGGAGGGAAGGAAAGTCGCAGTTACAAGCCGTTTCCTAGTAGTCAGGGTTAGACAGGATCTGTTTCTGAAAAAGAAACCCAATTTAACTTTCAGTTTCTTTACTAGGTTTTCCACGTGGAGCTTAAAAGAGAGATGTGTGAGTCAACCAAGATACCCAAATATTTATAGGAATCAACAAACTCAATGGGGACACGATTTGAGGATAAAAACAGAGGAAGAACAGCTGGGACCGACTTCCTGTTTGAAAAAAGCATCCCTTTGGTTTTATCGGCATTTAGGACAAGTTTGAGATGGAGCAAGTCAGACTGGATGATGTCAAAGGCGGATTGAAAAAGTCTGGAAAGCCTTAGCAACTGTTTTAGCTCGACAATAAACAACTGTGTCATCAGCATAGAAATGTAAGGATGCATCAGGAATGCTCTGACCTACATTACTTACAGTATGTAGATTGTAAAGAGGGTGGGTCCTAAGACTGAGCCTTGTGGTACACCATTTTTGACTGTTAAATAACTTGAGGAAGTACCATTATGTTGAACACATTGCCTCCGATCTGAGAGAAAGTTAGAGAACAAACAAATGGTGTGATCTAAGAAATCAATTTCTGAAAGCTTATGACACAAGATGTCATGATCCACAGTCAAAAGCTTTAGACAGGTCTAAGAAAAGTGCAGCACAATAATCCTTCGCATCCAGTGCTTCAACAATGTCATTAAAAACCTTCAGGGAAGCAGTGGTTGTGCTGTGTTGTTAGTGGAATGTAATTTATTTTTGATCAAAATTATATTTACAACAAACCCAGTAAATGTAAAAAAAAGTAGGAAAAATGCTAGTTCTTCCTCTTTATAAATATTGCACACAGCACATAAGCACATTTAATATTCCAATAATTGACACTTAAAATAAAACCAAGATTGTCAAAATTCACACAGCACTATTTTTTCATAAATGTAATGCAATTTCAAGTCGACAAGTAGCTAATCATTTGATATTACTGTAAATATTTCCTGCATATTTTCCTCTCAGTCTGCGTTGGTCTTAGACGTGGCCTGTTTGTAAATCAACTGCGTTCTTAAATTTCACTGGGATTTTTCTGAAGCGCATGCAAAGATGTCACAGCTACACACACTGCAGTTCTATACTGGACACACAAAATCAGCAGAAAGTAAGAAATATACGTCCTATTGTAGCATCTGATTCCATTTCCCAGAAGTGTTGCACTATACGGTCAGGCCACCAGATATCAGTGTGGCTCCATGAAAACCCAGCGGCAGCAGGCCGCTGATATCAGATGTGTGGCATTAAGTTGCTCGCTCATGTTTTCTTGTCTCACGATTTGCTTCGTGTTCAGCGATCACTAAAACAAGGCCCATGAAGGTTTGCAGTCTCTCATTACAGGCTTCATCGTGATCGTAATAGACTTACAGGATGTTTTAATTCATTCTTTATTTTACAGCCATAAAATACCAAGATTACACAGGAGTCATCTGAACAAGCTCTGGACAGCTGGTTCCTCCAAATTATTATTTTTTTGAGATATATTGTATAAACAGGCGACGTTGACCCTCCATCGAAGAGTCACACGAAAAGACTGTGAATGAGACGTTCATCTTGTGGTAAAGAAGAAACAATTGCAATGACTTTAACTAAAAGAACAAGGTGTCAAATACATTTTTTGTAGAAAATCCAGCCGTTCCTCCCTCTACAGCAGACGTGAGCAATATATGACCCGAGGGCCAAAAGTGGCCCCTGAACAATCTCTATTCGGCCCCCCAATATCCTTAATTGAAAAGAAAATATTTTTTAAACAAGTTGATGAAAATCTGCATTTTATCAATGAACTTCAAGGAAATCTAATTTAAGCATCTTGGACGAATACATCAAAAACTTTTTGGTTAAAAAAGGCTAAACTCTTCCTTTTAGTCGACTTGTTTTTTTGTTTTGATTTCAATTTTTATTTAGCATATTTAAGCTAACAAAGATAGTTTCATAGGATAAAGATTCTTACATTCTAAGATAAGACAATAAGACAGTAGTTGGTTTCTACTCTGGCTCTCGCTCAAGACGGTCACTCCTGTTTTCCCTCCCCCTGTTCTCCCATTCCTCCTGATTCTGCTCTGTGTGTGTCTCGGAGCTCCTGGTACACATCGCCCGAACGAAAAATACTATTATGGATCTGACGAGCTGGACTTTCAACGAAATCGACAAAATATTTTCAACAAAACGACAGGGTCCTGGAGAACCCTCTTGCCCGGCTGACACTCATGATGTGGGGTACATCAGAGATCAGCTGATGTGTCTCTCAGCTGAGTCTCAGGAGGACGCTGAAGACGTTTATATTTTAGATTTATGATAGCAAGGTTTCTACTGTTTGGCATTGGCGGGGCTCTGTTTTATCAACTTAAAGAAGACATCGGCAGCAGTATCAACCATGGCAAAGCTTCCGAGTCTGTGTTTGGTTTGTGCTATGAGGACTCAAAATCAGCTGATTAACGAGCTAAACTATAAGATGGAGGCAATTTGTGAGACTTGCAGGCCACCTGCGGCTTCTAGGACTCATCAACATGTTGGGATCGACCTTGAGGAGGCTCATAACGTGGATCAGTGGAGTGGAATCCCATAAATTTGGCCATTTTGGACCAAGAAAGTTCCAGCAGGACTCAAGGCTGACAAGAAAAAAACAGTCTGCCTGAAGAAAATCAATAATTGTGGCTTATTTGAATCCGACTCCCCTGTTTGGCCTCGGATACGAGCTATCAAATTTCTCCTGGGACGTGGGTAACTAGGGAAAAAAGCTCCGTCTATAGCAACCCCCCCCCCCCCCAAAAAAAAAAAAGGCTATCAGAACTGCCGGCTGAGCAACAACATCTTATCAGGACTATGGCCTATCTGAAAGGGCTCATGGACAAATCTCAACGTCTTGACGTCAAATGCATATGTAATCAACGTGTAATCAATCTTTTTAAACATGCTTGATGGTAGATTTTTTTATGTCTCAAATCGTTTCCTGATAGGACAAGATGTGAAGAGATCTTTTTTGTAATACCACTATCTATCCTTATGGCTCTTACCCTTTTTCTAACTAAGAGTATTCTGATAAAGAATAAGGGGCCGCGCTTTTCAGCAGCAGGACCGTGCACTCCGCCCATCTTTCGGACGACTGTACGAACATAATGTCACTGCATTTCTGTACAATAATAAAGCTTATCGTGATTCTGATTGTGATAAGACAAGACATCTTAAGATAAAGAGTCTTACATCCTAAAAGTTATTGGGGAGATACATTTTTATCAAGCACACTAA